TCAGAGCAGTGTCGGATGGGAGAAGGAAGGGAGTTCCAGAGGAGCAACAGCAGAAAAGGCTCTGTCCCCCCAGGTTCAGTGCTTGGTACTTGGTGGTGGGGCGAGGAGGTGAGCAGAGGAAGATTGACGGCTGCGGGAAGGGGTGTTGGCCTGGGGTAGGTCTGTGAGGTAGGAGGGGGTCAGATGATGGAGGGCTTTGTAGGTGTGGAGGAGGATCTTGAATGGGATGCGTTGTTTTACAAGAAGTCCGTGGAGATGTTGAAGAACAGGGCTGATGTGATCACATGAGCGGGTGTGGGTGACGGGAGAGAGACGAGCAAACATTTTTTAGATGGAAAAAAGTTGTTTTTGTGACCTGTTTGATGTGCTGCTCAAAAGTGAGGTTGGTGTGGAAGATTAGTCCAAGGTTGTGGGTGTAAGAGGAGGGAGTCAAGGATGAATTTCCAACAGTAAGGCAGAAGTGATGGAAGGACTGGGTGAGGGATTTGGGGACGTTGAACATGAGGTCAGTCTTATCACAGTTTAGTTGAAGGTAGCTGGTTTGCATCCAGGCTTTTATTTCAGAGAGGCAGTTTGAGACAGAGGAAAGGGTGGAGGAGGTAATGGATTAGGTGGAGATGTAAAGTTGAACGTCATCAGCGTAGCAATGGAATCAGAGATGGTGACGACAGATTATATTACCAAGAGGGAGGATGTAGATGATGAAGAGCAGGGGGCCAAGCACGGAACCCTGGGGGACACCTTGTGCCAGGGGAGCAGTGGAGGAGGAGTGGTTATTGATATGAAGGAATTGTTGTCATTTGGAGAGGTATGATTTGATCAAGGTGAGTGTTGTGCCAGTGATGTGGAGGGATTTTTTAAGACGCGAGAGGAGGATGGAGTGGTTGATGGTGTCGAAGGCAGCGGTGAGGTCAAGGAGGATGAGAATGCTGACATGTCCAGAGTCTGCGGAGAGAAGGAGGTTGTTGGATGCTTTGAAGACAGCTGTTTCAGTGCTGTGTTTGGGATGAAAACCAGATTGAAATACTTCATACAGGTTATTGGACTTGAGGTGGATTTGGAGCTGGTAAGCAAGGAGACTGTTTTAGATGGAGTTTATTTTGGATTGAAAAAATGAGAGGAAAGTCTGGCATTTATCGGATGTGAAGGATGGAGCGGTGTTGTCATGGGGCTTCAGGAGGGAAGTGATGGTGGAGAACAGTGTCTTGGGGTTTGCTGGAGCTGGAGTGGATGATTTGTGAGTAGTAGGTACACCGGGCAGGGTTGAGGGCATCTCTTTACTTTTGGATGTGGTCTGTGTAGATTTGAAGATGTACTGTGAGTCCGGTTCTCCTGAAGAGTCGTTCCAGTTGAAGTTTCTGTGCTTTCATCTGGTGAAGTTCAAGGGTGTACCATGGGGCAGAGTGTGTGAATGAGACTGTTTTGGTTTTGTTGGGGGAAAGTGAATCCAGACAGGAGGAGAGGGTGTTGTTGTAGTGAGTGACAAGGTCAGAGGGATTGGCAGTGTGAATGTTGAAGTCTCTGAGGAGGTGAACGGATGGACAGATGGCACAAAGTTGGTTGAGGAGGTCGGAGAGGTCAGTGAGGAAGTCCGGGTTTGGTTTGGGTGGGCGGTAAATGACAGCAGTAATCAGAGGGGTGAGGCCAGGGAGTTTGTACACAACATGTTCAAATGAGGAGACAACTGGGGTGGAGAGTGTAATGATATTAATGTCCTTTCTATGGATTGCTGCAATACCGCCACCTCATCCTTCTGGGCGGGGTTTGTCTCTATATGTGTGTCCTGTAGGTGTTGGTTGAGTGAAAAGTAGTCCAGTATTTTGTGCCATGTTTCAACTAAACGGAGATTATTGTCGAGAATGTTTTCATAGAGGATGAGGCTTTTGTTGATGAGAGAGCAGGTGTTAAACAGAACCAGGAGCAGAAGACGTGAATCTGAGAGTGTGTGTTATCCGGGGTAGTGTTCATAAACTGGTCGAATTCACGTGTTGTTGTTTGTTGTGATGACGTAATCCAAGAGTGCAGTGGGACCAGATGGACGGAATGGAGTGCAGAGATAAATGAAGTGATGACTTAATAAATATCAAATCTGAAACACTCAAGTATTCAGTGTTGGGACACAATTGTCAAGTCATAAAACCAACCAGGGCGACTGTGGCTCAGGTGGTAGAGCGAGTCGGTCAATGATCGGAAGCTGGGCGGTTCGATTCCGCGCTGTAACTTGTGTCATGGTTGCTATGGGCAAGAGACTTCACCCACCTTGCCTGGTGTAAATGCCTATGAATGGATTGTTTGAGGTGGTGGTCGGAGGGGCCGTAGGCGCAGAATGGCAGCCACGCCTCTATCAGTCTGCCCCAGGGCAACTGTGGCTACAATCGTAGCTACCACAACCAGAATGAATGTGTGTGAATAAATAATTGACAGTGTAAAGCGTCTTTGAGTGTCTAGAAAAGTGCTGTATAAATCAAATCAATTATAATTAATTATTATAACAAAATGAAGGCAAGCAGCTGTTACTCTGTCAGTAGTGATTGTAAATGTCTTTTTTTTTTTTTTTTTGGTCTCTTCGCTTTCTTATATTTTTTTNCAGTGCCCAACCACAAAAAATGTAAAGTTGAGTTTCATGTTTTTTGGATAAGGGTTCATGGTTTACTAGTTCGTGGCAAAGTGGTCCAACAACAGTCCACTAGCAATGTCACAATGCAACTTTCAAGTTTGGCTTTTGGCATGAAAATTTAGTGCCAAAATGGACCAAACCACAGGAATTGCTGAGCATTATGTCGCGGGCGCAGGTAGTTGCACGTGATTGTGATTCAAGATGGTGGACGGTGCGAGCTCAAACCCTGTGAAAACTCAACTCATAGGTACGGTAAGGGAAAAACAAAAACTTAATTAACCACCATCAAACATCTATTTCTACCCCATGGTCCTCAAAAGTATCTTCTTCTGGATGTAATGACGGAAGATCTGGTAGCTTTGACTGTTTTAAGAAAACAACATGCAGCATATATGGCCAGCCCTCAGAATGACCAAATAAAATGACAAAGGCCTGGGCCTTATACGGTTAACAAGCAAATGTACTGAAATATACATCAGGTTTCAGACACCAGTCTGGAACTTCATCATCAGTGGTTTCCTTCTCTTCTGCCAAAGCACATAAGCGAGGCACAATGAGGAAGGACCTACGTTCAAGAGAACAAAGGTGATTGCTAAACAGAAAACAGGGCAGGGCATTTTTTAGTAACATACAAAAATTCAGGAACCAAAACACTGGAGACGAACCAACAAGAAGAAAACAACTGCAGCTAGATAACTGAGACTAAAGACCTGAGCACCCAAAACCAACACAATGAAGAGCTTTTTGCTTCTCATCCTCTCACTGATGACAGGTAAATACATAACTAACACTTTATTACTGATATTACAAACAAATTCATGTTATTTTACACAGCACATTGTTGACTCTAACATATAGATCAATTTATAATCTGATGTGTTTTAACTCTGCACTGTGTATAATATACTTTACAACTGCAAACAATATAAACTAAAGTCCTACAGTCCCATAAATCCAGCAATTACAACTATATACATGTATATATATATATATATACACACACACACACACACACACACACACACACACTATATATATATATATATATAGTGTGTGTGTGTGTCTAAAAACAAACTTAGCATACAAAGGAAAGTATACTGCAACTCCCAGTCAACAATCAACACATTTAACTGAACTACAACAGACATCTCATGCAGACTCCATCACTGCAGTTTCTTAAAAATCTCATAAAAATATTTCTCTTCCATCTACAGGTATTGAAGCCTCAGATGAAGTTGAAGTGACAGTATGTAAAAAAGGACAGGTTGAATTCACCTGCAAATATCCTGAAACCAACAAAAATTATCAAGTGATCAAAGTAGCAGTCCCCAAGGGACCGCCGGTACCAATCTCTAGAAACAACGTAAGGGAAAAAGTTGGCAAATATTCACTGTACCATGACACACAGCATAAAAGTCTCAGGGTGTCCATCAAATCTATTAGACGCAGTGACATTGGGGAGTACAAATGTCAATTTTTCAAACAACCTAACTCTAAACCTGCCATAAATGAAATAGAGATTGAAGATGGTAAGAAACTTTTTCCTCATAATTATGATAACTGTTGTTGTTCTGATTATAGCTGTTGGTGGTGGTTGTGTTTCTGTTATCATTGTTGTTTCTGTGGTTATTATTGTTGGTATTGATGTTATTATTGCTGCTGTTTTAGTTGTTGTTGTTGTTGTTGTTATTGTTGTTGTTGTTGTTGTTGTTGTTGTTGTTATTGTTATTGTTATTGTTGTTGTTGGTTTTGTTCATCAAAGTGTCAGGACTTGAAAACACTTCAGTTAGAATCCCAAGTTTTCTGATATTCTGGAGAGTCTACGACTTTCACTGTCTAAAAGACAGATTACATGTTGTAATAGAATATAAACCACTAAAACACTTCTCTTTCTGTTTTATTTACAGAGGATAGGAGGTGCCCAGAACCATTTACTCACACTGCGTACACAACAGCTAAAACCACCATCGCATGTGGACATGGAGCATTGAAGTCCAATCTTTTCTGCAAAGACAATGGTTTTTTCTGTGAGGACATTTTATCAACTGAATCTTCTCGAAAGTCAAATGGGAGATTCACTCTCACGAACACAGCTGGTGGCTTCACAGTGTCCATCAGAGATGTGTCTTTACAGGATGCTGGTGTCTACTGGTGTGGAAAAAAATCAACTCACAGAACTTCCACTTCTAGAGTTTTACACACAAAAGTACATCTGGACGTTAAAAGTGAGTCGTTCACATCTTCAGCCTCTGAGGTTTCATCTTGTGTTAAGGCATGAATAGCAACTATTGGAAACAGCTTCACACATCGTTGTAATTACCAGGAGGGTAATTAATTAATTCTAGCAAGAAGCACACTGCCTGTTTTAAGTACAAGGTTTTCTATGACTGATGACAGACAGGGAAGCATCATCATAAAACTAAATGAAGTAACAACAGGCAACAACGGGACTTAACAGACAGCAATCAAGCAAAGGAAGACAGTAATTATTGATTACTGCTGAACATGCATCTTTATTTGTTGCTCTGTTGAGTTTCATGCAACAAAACTGACATTTGTCAGGCTGAAGCTCATTTCTAGCCTTCATCACTGGTTCAGGTTGTATGTTTTTATGAAAGTCGACTCATCATGGCAGATTTTCCAAACATTTAACAAGATTTTTTTTTTTTTTTCTTGCACTTTTCATACTTTGATATTCTATCTGTCGTGGCATCCTGTTAATCTGTCACTGCTTTCATGTGCAACTTCACTGCATTTGTGTTTCCAGCTTCTCGAACAACAACACCTTCTATCATTCCGTCCACATCAGAGCATTCAACGGCGACTTCCGTCTGTTCAACCCCGTCCACTACTGCCATGAGTCTGGGTAAGAAAGTACTTTATTTCCAGAAACCTACAGCAGCTGTAGGAAGAGGAAGCTGTCTGTCTGACTGAAAACATGTCTGTGATTGAATTTCTGTGTATTCAGCGATGCAGACAGTTGTGGATGAAGTTTGTATGTTTACAGTTGGCCGTTGTTCATTTTTACGTCTGTGACTTTGTCTTACAGATACCTCTTGGTTAACTGCAGTCATAGCTGCAGTCGTTTGTGTAGTTGTGCTGGTCCTCGTGGTTATTTTGGTTGTTGTTTACAAGCGTAAGTGTTTTCTTTCCCAGCCTGCACATCTACAAACACACACACTTTCGTTTTGGAGGCTGAAGGGCCAGCAAATACTAATTACTGAAATAATAATAATATAACAATAATAAAAATAATACATTTACTTTGTATAGCGCTTTTCAAGATACTCAAAGTATCTTTACAGGATGCAAGATAAAAACACAAACAAATAAGTTGAATAAAAAGCAGATGAAAAGCAAGGTATAGAAAGCAAGTATAAAATGTAAAACAAAACATTCAAAGCAATCTTGAATAGGTGGGTTTTTAAAAGGGACTTGAATGTGTGGAGATCAGAGCAGTGTCGGATGGGAGAAGGAAGGGAGTTCCAGAGGAGCAACAGCAGAAAAGGCTCTGTCCCCCCAGGTTCAGTGCTTGGTACTTGGTGGTGGGGTGAGGAGGTGAGCAGAGGAAGATTGACGACTGCGGGAAGGGGTGTTGGCCTGGGGTAGGTCTGTGAGGTAGGAGGGGGTCAGATGATGGAGGGCTTTGTAGGTGTGGAGGAGGATCTTGAATGGGATGCGTTGTTTTACAAGAAGTCCGTGGAGATGTTGAAGAACAGGGCTGATGTGATCACATGAGCGGGTGTGGGTGACGGGAGAGAGACGAGCAAACATTTTTTAGATGGAAAAAAGTTGTTTTTGTGACCTGTTTGATGTGCTGCTCAAAAGTGAGGTTGGTGTGGAAGATTAGTCCAAGGTTGTGGGTGTAAGAGGAGGGAGTCAAGGATGAATTTCCAACAGTAAGGCAGAAGTGATGGAAGGACTGGGTGAGGGATTTGGGGACGTTGAACATGAGGTCAGTCTTATCACAGTTTAGTTGAAGGTAGCTGGTTTGCATCCAGGCTTTTATTTCAGAGAGGCAGTTTGAGACAGAGGAAAGGGTGGAGGAGGTAATGGATTAGGTGGAGATGTAAAGTTGAACGTCATCAGCGTAGCAATGGAATCAGAGATGGTGACGACAGATTATATTACCAAGAGGGAGGATGTAGATGATGAAGAGCAGGGGGCCAAGCACGGAACCCTGGGGGACACCTTGTGCCAGGGGAGCAGTGGAGGAGGAGTGGTTATTGATATGGAGGAATTGTTGTCATTTGGAGAGGTATGATTTGATCAAGGTGAGTGTTGTGCCAGTGATGTGGAGGGATTTTTTAAGACGCGAGAGGAGGATGGAGTGGTTGATGGTGTCGAAGGCAGCGGTGAGGTCAAGGAGGATGAGAATGCTGACATGTCCAGAGTCTGCGGAGAGAAGGAGGTTGTTGGATGCTTTGAAGACAGCTGTTTCAGTGCTGTGTTTGGGATGAAAACCAGATTGAAATACTTCATACAGGCTATTGGACTTGAGGTGGATTTGGAGCTGGTAAGCAAGGAGACTGTTTTAGATGGAGTTTATTTTGGATTGAAAAAATGAGAGGAAAGTCTGGCATTTATCGGATGTGAAGGATGGAGCGGTGTTGTCATGGGGCTTCAGGAGGGAAGTGATGGTGGAGAACAGTGTCTTGGGGTTTGCTGGAGCTGGAGTGGATGATTTGTGAGTAGTAGGTACACCGGGCAG